CGAAATAATCTTTCCATACCGATTTTAATTCTTGTGTAAGAATTACTCATTGAGTAATATGAATTTTATCGAGACTGTCAATTTATTCTTTCTCGTTATCAGCTATATCACTGTACTTTGAAAGATACGCAATAATGCATTATCTTTTAGGACAATAAATCAATCTGTCGTGATTTACTCTTATTAAAAGATTTATGAAAAGCAAAGAGTAAAATTAAATTATTCTAATTCAATAATTTATCGATCTTGAATTTGATGGATCATAAATTTAACCTTAGCATTTTATTACAATAAGAAACGGTAACATCAAATTTCATCATTGTTTGCTCAACAAATTTAGCTATGCGGCTGCATGAGCTTGATTTCCAAAATACCATCCTCATCTTAGAGAATATTAAACAAAAATTGCGAGAAGTGAAACAAGAGAAGTATGTACTACCTGAAAGAGAATACAAAGAATTTAAGGCAGATATGGTAATTATTTAGCCCTATTTCGAAGTTTCAGAGAGGTATAAATTTTTTTGGAAATTTCGATTATCATTAGCAATGGTAAGATCCAGCTTGATTTTTCATCACTTTAACAGTACAGTTTTTCTTATTTGTTAAAAAATTTTAAATAATCTTTTAAGAGGCTAAAGATTTAGAAAATTTTTTCCCTTTTTAGAAACTTGAGAAGATTAGAATTTACTTGTCATATAATAAACAGCTTTATCATTCCTACAACCCATAATTTTATATTTGCAGTTTGACGGTTTAGAGCTACCATTTACGGTGAATTTGCTTATCAATGATCGAAATGAATCTTCCTCCGTTTCCAGCAAGTTTGTTTTTTAAATATGGAAAATGTTGGCAAATTCTTAAATTTCAAAATATATCTTACAAAAGCATATAAATGCAATTAATTTTAGTCAGCAATGATAAAATAATAGTTGATCAATCAAAGAGTTCAAAGAATCAATCAATGCAGAATGTGAAAATTTATTACTCTTCGCACTCTCTGATCAATACAATTATCAGTAAACTTAACCTTTTTTTTCAATGACTATGATAAAATTCCAACTATATTTCTTAATGATACACTACTGTCTTCGGTTTTTAAATGCCCACCATATGATAAAATAGTAATTTCTGCATTCTCATTTATCAAGTGCTAAATGGAAGTGCTCTTAAAATACGAGTAATATCATGAACTTCCTCGCTTTTTATACAAACATTAAAATCAACTCTGATTAGACAGCCTTATCTTGAGAATTATAATTCTATATGATAGGAATATTCATATAAAACCAAAACTATAAAGCTACTATGCAGCAATTTGACTCAAAGTAAATTTGAACTTAAGATTTTAATAACATGAATTTATAAACGTTATTTGGTTTGGCTTTAGTTGGAAGTGACAATTACATTGAACATATTTAATTAAAACATAGTTCAACATAATTTATAGCGCGGTCGCTTAAGATTTAAAGAAAAAAACAATAAAAATCATCAAATATAACTGGCCAATGAAAAACGAAAACTTTTCCTGACCTGAAAACGTTATTTTTATGACGAAAGTGTTATTTGAAAGAATTACAAGCGAAATCTTGCGGCATTTCTAAAAACCCTCTGTCTTATAATTCAGATTTTTAAATTCAGATTAAAAATGGTTTTTGAGAAAAAGCAAATGCTAACAAATTCAGATTTTGAGATAAGCTTACACAGAATTGATTAATTCAAGAAAATCACAGCGTTTCAGATGAATTTCATAATTTTTTATAATTATTACCGTCATAAAGCGAGAATCAATATAATCATCACGATTCCTACTTTTAATTCAATTCTTTACAAAATACGGGAAAAGTTATTTAAACTTATTATAACTTCCTTAACATACACTGTACAGGCATATTTCTCAATTAATAGACATATGAAATTTAGAATGACTTATAAAGTCATTCATTTTTGGCCTACATGAAAAATCAATGGAACAAATGTAATCTATAGTTAAAATTTTGGATACAAAATACTCCGTACAATCAAAAAAGAGCATTCATTGCAGTATCATCATTGTATAAACATCAACACTCCTACTTCCTGTAATTATTAAAATTATAAATGGAAAACTTAAATTCGGAGTCTATGACTTTAATAAAGAATTCAAAAAATATTTAACACGAGCATGATCTAGGACTAGAAATCTGCAACATGAAATCATCTCCAATTTCTGAAAGCCTACTTGTTTCTCTGATGTGACTTCTTTTGTCGAACCATTTCCGACAAATACCTAAATCGCTCAACACATTGCTGCTTAGTTTTACTTGATACACAGTTAGCAATTTTGTCCCACCTAAAAAACAATGACGATAAAAGCTGAAATTAATTCAACTTGCACAATATTTTGTAGCGATGAAAGAACATAAGGAAAGAAAATAAACTTCACTTAGACTTCGCTTACATTTCAGAAAGCAAAAACTGCGAAATATTTCTAAAATTATATGAAAAGAATAACAGATGCCGTAGTATGACGCAATCTAAATAATTCGGCACATCACTAAGATGTTCAATGTTATCAACAAGATAAACACTACAAGAAATAATTCTGCAATTTCAACAATCGATGCAAAATAATGACAGGAATGATTAGATAGAATCAAGCTCTTAATAGGAGTAACTGAGTATACGCTAATAAAACGTCACTTTATTTTTCTGCTCTATCTATAATTATCTAATAATACTTGTTAAAAAATTATGATTAATTAATGTTACATTAAAAAATCTTACCGATCGGTAGTGCCTTTAGGAAATTGTTGAAGTGCTGCTTCAAATAACTTTTGATCATAGTCCGACCATATTACTGAGATCTTCCCTTTTTCACTATCGCTATCTTCTCTTGAAATATTCCATTTATTTGATTTTTCATCAGAAAGTTGGCTTGATTGCTTCAGTAATGTTATTTGTGCAGCCTTCTGCACGACAGCACTTGACTGAGAGCTACGTAATAAGCTTGCATACTCATTCTATAAAAAAGTACCATTAAAATTAATAGTATGGGACCGTGCAATAAAATTAACTGCGATGAAGGACAAATAAATTACGAAAGACATTTAAAAAAAAAAAAAACATGTACTGAACCAATTTTCTGGCCCGAACAATAAAAATAAAATCTACTCTTATCATTACATCCATAAAGAGAAAAAAAGCAAGACATTATACATATTTACGAAATATTTAGACACTAAAGACGACGAACCCTTTTCATTTGTTTTAATTTACCGACCATAAAAGTTATGTTTTGCGGCGACCGGTCCAGCACTTTCGCCATTAGTTCCCATCTAAAATGTTCAAAATCAACATCACAAGATTGTGCATCTCATTAATTTTATTGAATCAATGAAAAGAAAATCTATCATAACCTGTTAGGTGTACCAGAAGGATACTTTTCGGTACTCAGCTTAATAAGCAATGCCAATTCTTCACTAGTCCATGCACTGTTATGTATAACATCTGAAAATCAATAAAAGAGATATTTTCAATAGAATTTCAGCATTTATCACATACTGGAATGATGGTTCTTGTATAGCCTAAGAGCCATATAATTCTGTTCAGACACATATTATTTAATCTCCTAAAATGAGTAATCAAATTTGAAACCTCAAAGTAGTATATTTTTTTTATTAAATATTGATTGAAATCACTAGCTACAAAATGCTAAAATATGTAACGGGATACTTATATCACTCTACTTCAAAAAAATTTGAAAACTGAATCAGCACGTTAAAATCAACAACTATTATATTACTTACTATCATTTTGTGAATCAGATTTTTCCGCAGAATCTTCACTGAAAACGCAAGCAAGAACTGGTTTTACATCTGAAGCTACAGCATATTCATAAACAGGTTGTCGTGTTGCAATAGAACGACGTGAAGAAACCTCATCAACGTCATCCCTCTTGAAACAGCTAACATCATTTTGGACTACTTGATAGAATCCAAAATTACTGGACAGAAAATCCAATTTTATCTAATATCAATATGTGAAATTTCAAGAAAAAAGCTTGTTACTCAAAAAAGAACGGTCAACTTTTAGGCAGATTAGAATTGCGCCGAGAAAGAAAAAATGAGCTAACCTCAGATTTTTTTATTTTAGGCTGACATATATTGATGTGGTCACGAACAAAACCCGGCAGTGAAACAGTAATATTGTAGAGAAATGATACGATCAATACTGGTAAGCAATTTCGCCAGGACGGACAAACATCGGAAAGTATTTCAGCAATTTCTGTCTCATAAACAGTTTCAGCATCACTTCCAATTTTTTTTAGCTGTCGAATTTCTTTCTTACGCAATTTGCTACGACTTGAAGACTGCAAAATAGCATGTAAATCATGTTGTATGCAAGTATCGTTACATGATATTCGATATATCCTTAGAATCTAATATATAATTACATTGCAAATATCGAAATTAAAGAATACAGCGATAACTTCTATCTAAAATCTTCCTTATAAGAAATTGGATTTTTCAAATCACTGTGCAAAAAAAATGATTGATTTCTGATTTTGATTACGTGCTTTCGCCCTCACAACATTATACACAAACATTATACATTAGTATGCACAATACTGTTTAGCAGTTATGAATGTAAAGTAAAAAATTGTCAATTTAAAAAGATGGTGTTGAGACTAGCTTAAGAATTAAACTTAACGAACCAATATCAAATACTTATCTATGTAAGCACCCCATAGCATAAAATAATGACCAATGGAACAAATTATTATAAGTATGACCATTCCTTCAAACCAGGATAACTTTCGAGCACGCCTGAAAAAATTAGAAGCAAATATTCAGGTTTGGGAATGAACTAATCGTTATGCTCAGATTGGAATGAACTAATTAAACATTTACTTTTTAATTATTACTATAATCTTCAGAACCTGACTAAAGGATAGATTTAAAAACAATATGTAAGGCAATACAACGTTCGTAAAAAGTTTCTAAAAAAAAATATGTCTAACAGTTGTCGAAAAAAAATCTAATGACGCAAAAAACTAACTGATAATAAAAGACAGGTTGTCTCCAGTCTGGAAGACCATTTTCTAGAATACGATCATATTCCTCCCTTAAATCATCCGATTTCAAAACTTCGTAAATAGCAGCGATCTAGAAGAGAAACATTCTTTGTCGACGAGAAATAATATTCGTTTCAATTAAACAACTGAAAAATTAAAAAAATAAAATATGCTAAATAAAACCGAAATAAAACCTTTCTGAATTGCTCTCCTGCTTTTTTATCTGAATTGCGATCCGGATGCCATTCCATACTCAATCGGCGATACGCTTTTTTGATATTTGAAATTTTTGCATCCTTAAAAATCATCGTGTACAAGAGGAGATAAGCAAAATAAGAACAAAAAATAAGCAAATAAGCAAATGTTCAGAAAATTAGCAACAATTAGTAAAAAAAAAAGGAAAATTATTAAACATATCAAAAATTCGAATGTGTTGAATTAGCCGCTTTTAGCTTCAACCATCAAACTATTGAAAATATTTGCCCACTAATCACAAATTTTTTTTCAAAATCTCCATTTTTAATTAATGGATCTTAGCTTACTACTTTCGATCATTATCAATATGATAAAAGTAAGCTTCCCAAATACCTATGGTTGTACTTCAAAGTGTGCTAAATGCAGTTTGTGTGACTTCGAAGCTACTTATTACATACTGTAGTTATCGAACGAAATCAATATGATCAAATCAGTCTGTCAACAGTGTTATACACAAAATTAGTCGATGAATTGAATTATAAAAATTGACTAAAAATAGACAAAATTTTACTTTTGAAATTCCATAAAAATCATAAAAATTCTCGCCCACTTCCCCCACCAAATCGTAGATGAAAAGTTCTTTTGTTGTCCATGCTAACACTGCCGTGCATTTCAATGATAGCAGGAACGGTGTAAGCCACATAAAGCACTCTCAAACTTTTTAACCGATAAATGTCGACCAGATCATCTTGACAAGTAATCGACAGACACGAATGGTACCAATAAGTCACTTCTACCGCACGCCATTTGACCTTTCATCTTGCTACCTCGCCAGTTGCAGTATTCGTACCACATTCGTTTTGATATAATATAATAGAGGTGAATGATGAGGAGAGAAAGAATGGAAGAGAGAGATGAATTGGCGTGTATTTATAGAGAGAGAGAGAGAGAGAGAGAGGAAGAGAAGGGAGGAGTAGTAGAGAGAGAGAGAGAAGTGAAGAGGAAGAGGAACGGGAAGATAGAAAGAAAAAAAATGAGATTATCATAAAAATTAATTCAACCTGCAGATTTCAATTTTAATTTCTCACCAGTGATCACCAGTAATTTGATCTCTGTCTATGGAAAATAGTAGTACAATTTTGAAGGAAACTCAACAACCAACCGACTAACAGTGATATTCACGAGGAATAGATAAAGTGATCGAAAAGAACATATTAGCTTCAGGCGTGACAGCAATTGATGGGATTGAAAAAATAGCGTGGTATTTGAAGAAGATAGCGAAAGTTTTGTTTAACACAATTATTGTTGGATGAGATTATTTGCGGAAAAAGAAAGAATAATTTAAAGTGGAAAGAGGAGAAAATAGAGATTGATAAACGGTTGGGATATGATGTGTAATGAAGAGACGAGAGGAATGAAGTGAGACAGAGAATGAGAGTTGGTTAGCATAGACTTTAGTGTGATGAGATGTGTTTTGCTGTTTAATTCCATTATAAGCTTATCCGTAAATTCGTAAAGTGAATGAAAGAAATGTGACATGAGAACCGTCAAAGAGCAATCTTCCTATTCTATTAATATAATGAACAGCTATCACAGTTAATATAATGAACAGTCGAGAAAACCGAACTTAATTCTTAACTCGAATCAAGTAATTGATTCATTTCTTTTAAAGAATTGTACAATCAAATGATTGGTAATTTAAAAGAATTTCCTAATGATTCACCATTTGTAATGAATATAAAAACGATTTACAACGTTTCATGTAATTAGCAAATTCTCATCATAAAAGCCATTTTATATTCGAATGTATTCTTAATATGCGCTGATTTATCCGTAATATTTCTCTTCTAAAAAATCATTCTTTTCTATAGCTATCTTTATAACTAATCTAATTGTATCATCATACACCCATAAACTCATTTTGTTCAAGAATTTAAATACATTTAAAATTTTTGAAGAAAAAAAAACATTACAGATTGAATTCTCTTCTTGTCTTCATCTGATTCGCTTACTATTCTGTTCCACATTTCATTATTGTTGCTGGAATTATTACTCTCGACTAAAATAAATCTTTATGAATAATTTGTCTATAGATCAACAATTTATTTAATCAATCGACAAAACTTTCATGACATGCTAATGTGATGGACAATTAGCGCTAGTATAATGGACAATTATCGCCAATGTAGTGGACAATTATCACGAAATACAATCATTATACCATCGCTAGATAATATTCGGTGGAAGAAAGGTTGCAGTTATCGTAGCCATTTGTGCACTTTCACTGATAACATTGCTTAATATTTAATTAGTTCATTAGACATCAGCATTTTTTAATCTTGCAATTACTGAAGAAAGTTTATTTTTTTAAAAAAAAAAAAAGAAAAGAAGAATAATCTATGTGCAGATCTAATCAACGCAAAGATGAATATTTTTTTCTAATGACTAATAATAACGATTATATCACGATTTAATGATGCATAATGATTACAATTACTTATCTCCACCATTTCATGAATAATCACTCAAGCTGATAGTAAATGTCATCGAGATATTGCTAAACAT